TTAGAGAAGATCTTTCCTTCAAACTTTTTTACTACTATGATACATTTGGTTATCCACTTTCCATATGAAGTAAAAATCGATGGGCTGGTTTATTATCGATGGATGTATCATATTGAAAGGTATTATTTGTTAATATATTGATTACATTTTTATTGATTATCAAGCCAATCTACTTAAAACAACATAACTAATGTTTTATGCTATAGGTTTTTGGGGAGGTTAAAGTCTTATTATCACAACAAATGATATCCAAAAGGTTCTATTGCTAAAGGATATTTAGCAGAAAAGTGTATGATATTTTGTTATCGTTATTTGGAAGATGTTGAAACGAGATTTAATAAACTTGTAGATATTGGCTATGGACTGAATCCTTTAGAGAAAAATGAACGTACTATCGGATCTAACTCCGTCACTTTTAACCCTTCAACTGATATTGAATCAAGCAATACAAGAGGTCTAGGTTTAGATAGTAACCCATCAATTGATTATGCTTTAAATTTGAATGCAGGTATGATATACTCTAATTTTAAAATTCGAGTATAATTATAAAAGTATTACGATTTTACAAATATATTATATAATTTTTTACAGTTGATAACAATGGTCAACGGAGGATCAGAGGTCGAATAACTTTGAAAGAATTATTTGCACTACCTTCTACCGAGCATATTGTAGTGTCTGCAAACTCTGATAGGCAACAAATTGATGAAGAGGCTTAATTATTGGCTGAATTTCTAGGCATGCTAGCCCATAATGGAATGAAATTGCCTATTCATTATGAAACATGACATAATATTTCAGAAGAAGTTAAGGTCGATGTGTTAAACTTTATTGAGGTATTAGTATAATTAATTAGATATATTCAATTTTTTTATTTTACATTTTGTTTACTTATTCAAACTTTTCTTATTGTATTATTACAGTCAAGATTTGTACTTGAAATATCAACTTCATATGTGCTTAAGTCCTTGAAAAAGAAATGAAAAGATTATAAGCATAGTTTAAAGAATACGTATTTCAATCAAAAGAGTACTGTAGAGGCAACGATGTAAAATCTACCCCGTAATGTGATTAGGTGGCAATATGAACAATTGGTTAGATTTTGATTCTCAAGAAAAAAAGAGGTAGTAGTTTATAACTTTGTATAATATAATGAAATGATGAAAGTGTTTGATGGTTTAAGTTGGCAATGTTTGTATTTCTATCATATAAGAAATTATTTTTTATGACAAGAAAGAGAACAGATTGGGATTGGTAGCAAAAAGTAACAAAAATATAGCCATACAAGTGATCAAAAAGTTTTTGCAAGAAAGCAAAAAAAATCATAAGTTTATGATAATTAACTTATTCCAATTAATGAACTTTTTTCTATCGTTGAAAGGTAAATATGGAAATTAACATTTATTATTTTGTTTTAATAGATTTGATTGTTTCAATACATGATATTAAATTTATCAAAAGTTTTGAACTTAATTACATAGATGATATGTATGAAATGTTACTGTTTACGTATATTTACGCCTTTATTATCTGGTTGTTGTTATTGTTGATTTTTAATAGTTTTGATACCTTCAATACTTGATATTAAGTTTGTCCGATTGATTGAAATTGGTTTCTATGGTTGATATGGGAGAAAAAATTGTTAGTTATCTCTGTTTGGAAATACTTTTGCATAAAAAAGGCAAATATACAAATAAATTTTGGATGTCTTTTAACATATTGAATGACTTCAATCCCTCATATTAAATCAAGAGAAAATAATTGAATATGGTTTCCATGATCGATATGTGTGAAAGCCCAAAATGCATTTATTTGTTGTGTATATTTAAGATTATTATGTTGTTACAGGGCCAAAATATAAAAAAGGAGATTAAAGTTATTCAAAATTTTAATACTTGATTGACAAGATTGATATGCATAAATAAGTTGTGATTGATATGTATCATATCAAATAAAATATGTTTTTGTATAGGAGAATGAGATGGGCAGTACAATTGGACATGTAAAACTTTTTCGCGTAACACACACAAAAAAAAGATGGATCTTACATGAATGTCGAAACATAAGAAATTATGATAATTTGTATAATCTATTTTAACATAAAGTAAATATTAACTATTTTTAACATATAATCAATTAGTCATTAAACTTGATTGTTGTATATGACAAATTCATAGGAGAAAGTAAAAGAAAAAATGATTGCTGAGATTGAAATAGTATTTGAAGTTTCTCTCAATATGCAAAAAATGAAAAATCAGATATTCATAAAAGTTGTTGAAAAAGAAAGGCATGAACGGGTCCGAGGCCTTAGATTGGGTCCAACACCATTTGCCTACTATGGACATAACTCTCCGTAATTTACACTATCAGCAAGTCAGTCTTTGCGAGATATTTCAATATTGAGAGGAGAGTTACAAACTATGCAATAAAGTTTTCAGCAAATTGAAGCAGAAAGAGAACATGTGCGTACCAAAATTGAAGAAGAACATACTAGAATGGAGCTAGAGTGTACAAAATTTTAACAGTTGCATGATCGATTCGATTATCTTATGAATTTTGTGCAATAATAATTTCTAGGAAATGATCTTGGTGCTTCATCAACTCAGGTATTATATTTAATAAATATTAAAATTTTTAAATAAAAAAAAAGCATATAATGAAGTGTTAAAAATTGTATGGTATTATTAGTAGGTTGTTGAGCACGCTAGTTACTAAGGTGAAAAATTTTTTTCATCAATTGGGAGCCAGCAAAATGTATGTAGTCATCTATTTCATACATTTTAATTTTTTATTTGGTTAATGTATTTACAATATTTGAATGTTATTATACTAATTATTAAACTTTGTATTAATTATATGTTATTTAAACGTGAATGAAGTTAATATTAATTTCAATTTCTGAATTTAAGCTCTTTATTTAAAATAAAATTTATTATAAAAATTATAAAAAAAATATTTTTACATAATGATGACGTTTGCGTTGGCCAATGCTACTAAATGAATAATTTAGTGATGTTTGTAGCATAAAATGCCACTAGTAGTAGCGGTGCTCTTTCCAGCAAATGTCATTAGGTTGATGGTATTTTTTATAAAAACGCCACAAAAGCAACAACATTTTTCTCATAACAACGCCACTGAATTAACGGTGTCTAAAAGATACAAAAACCATAAATATTGAGGCGTTTTCATATTCAAATGCCATGCAAAGTAAAGACATTTTCTGTTACAAATGCCATCAATGAAATGACATTTTTCTCATAAAAAGGCCACTGAAATAGCAGCGTCTCTAAGATATAAATGTCGCTAAAATGATGGCGTCGCACAAACAAACGTCATTAATATTAAGGTATTTTTTTAAAAATGTCGCTTTTTATCGCGATGCGTGTATATGCGGCACTCTGTGTGGTATTTTTTCGCAAACGTCGTAACCTTATAGTGGTGTTAATAAACGTCGCGAAACGGTTAAAAAACGTCGCTAAAAACCAAACCTTCTGTAGTGACTGTTCGAAAGTTCATATGATCAAATACTATAGAAAGATCATATTTTGCATGCTCATGTAGGAAACAAGATATAAGTGGAGTCCCTTGTCCGTAAGTGCAATTGTGTATGACGATTCAAACTATATGGATTATTTGGCATTATGGTTCAAGAAAGAAATATACATGTCTGCCTATAAGAACACCATAAATCCAATATGAATAATGTTTTGGCTCAAAAGCAATGAAGGACCACTGCTAACTCTTTTGGTAAAAAGGATGCTTAGTAAGGTAGTTAAGAAAAGGAAGCGTGAACCACTGAGAATAAAGGTAAACTTTCTTGGGTTGGAAGGGTGATCACATGCAGTTATTATCACGAAGAGGGTGTTAACAAATTAAGATGTCTAAGAAGAGCAGAATTTGTAAAAATTCAACCTCGTGATAACATATATTTATCAAGCTAGATGATAATTATGGAGGTTTGTTTATGTTAAACCTTTTCTTTATTGTTCATTTGTAGGTTCAAATCGAAAATTCTAAGCCTTGAAAAAAGGAAAACAAAGGTTTATTATTTGATTGTTGCAGTTTCGATTATGCATTTGTTTGACCTCTTATTTGTTTTTAAAAGTTGACTATGTTGATTAATATTGTAGGGTTGTGGTCAAATTTTAGACCTAATGCAAAGAAGTCAAAGGAGAAATCTATTACCACTAATAAAAATGTACTTATTAATTTGTGTCAAAGGTCTGTCTATCAATTGTTATGATGATTATGAATAAAAACAATGTAATAACATTGTATGAAACAAACTAATGACTTTTTTGAAAAAGAACAAAAAAAAAAGTCACATGTCCTCTGCTTCTTGACCTAATAGCTAAGGAGAGCTACAAGAGACATAAGGTTTTAATTTCGAGTTTTTGTATTCAAGATCATTTGTTAAATTTAATAAACAAATATAAATGAACAGAAATAGAATATATTCACGAACAATTCATTGAAAATTCTATTCATTTATACCTTTATATAATAGTAAAAAAATGATAACTAACATAACAGTGTAATGTCTACAAGCTTGATAAATTGAGTAAAACAATTGTAAAAAGAAAAATAAAGAGGTTTGCTTCATGCATTACAACAAACTAATTATTGTTAATTAATTTAATGCACATTAATTATAAAAAAATATATTTTGTTGAAAATATTTGATTTAAATGTACTGTAAAATTTAAGCAAAATTAAATGCAAAACAATCCACTTTCTTAAAATAAGACGAAGTATAATTACAAAAGAATTGATTACTCATTTAATAAAGAAATTTGAAAACAATGTATAAATTAATATTTTAAAATAAAATATGTAATTTAGATAATGAGCGGATAAGGTTAATCCAAAGTTAATTTTTTTAGTTAACACTTTTTTTCTTTTAAGGGGCTCTCCCTGTAAATATCCTTAAAACGCAGGGCTAAAGTTTCATGATATACCCTTTCCGTAACTTTTTAACTGTAGGCAAACCCCAGTGGACCCCACTTTAAAGGCAATTGCAAAGAACCAAAGGCAAAGCAGAGCATAAAAAAAAGTTACAAAATAAAAATATTTTAAAAAACAACCCCACTAGGGTTTGACCGGAGAGGGAACAAAATTGGGAAATTGCATCAAAACCCAGAGAGAGATTAGTTCTTAGTGTGGGCAATGAATCGAGTAACCGCTTTTTGATTTTCCCCCGTTTCGGTTGAGTCGCTTTCTCGCTTAACTCATCAAGATCTACCTTTCATTTCTACCGTGATCTTCGGATTCTAGAGAGAGAAACAAAACAATTTTTTACTATTTGTTTTTGTTGTTAGTTATTGCTTTTTTAATTTTCTTTTGAACGTTGGGATCGGAGGGCAAAAGAGGGGTTTTATTAAAAAAGTAAAGATTTTGGAGGGGTTCGAGCTGTGAGAGTGGTGGTTTTTTTTTTTGTTTTCAATTTTTTTGGTAATAATTTGGAATTTGCGAACGAATTTTTGTTAAAAATATTGGGGGTTAGTTTTTTATGCAATCTGGTGGTGGTGGCGGAGGTGGGCCCAGCCGGAACCCGGGGGTGGGACCGGTGGGGCGGGCCGCATCTACATCGTCCGCAGCTTCTCCGTCATCCTCGTCATCCGCCGTTTCGACCCCTCAGCAGCAGCAGCAGCACCAGCAACAACAGCAGCAGCAGCAGCAGCGGCAGCAGAAGCAGCAGCAGCAGCAAATAGCGTCTAGGCAGGTAAAGGGTTTATGAAATTTCGGTCCACGTAATGGATATTTGGTTAAATTGACAGTTGATTTTGGGAACTCAGTATGTTTTTGCATATGGGCAGTAATGAATTGGGGAATTTGGTGAGTTTTGGGGATTTTACAATGCAATATCTGATGTAATTAGGTTAGTACATAAGGCTAATTAGTTAATTCTTGGTAATTAAATTGCCTTGTGGGGTTTAGATGAGGGTTATATTTAGTAGCATTAAACTATTGAGCTCTTTAGGTGTCAATGGATTCAACTATGATCAGCTCTGGTCTTATAAAGAAGAATAAAAGCCTTTGCATTCGCTCATCAAGGCAGAATTTCTATTGTATATCCCTATATGTACGTGCAAGTGAAGTTGTTGCTATGTTTTATCCTTTTCTTTAGGAAGACTAATAAAAAACTTTTGAATTCTTTGTTTGAATTATCTAGTTTACTCAACCCTCTTTCCACACAGCACTTCTGTACCCAAAAGAAGAAGAGAAAGAAGAAGAGAGAGAGAGAGGGATATGAAACTGTTCTTTGGGTTCTCCTATAGAATTAACAACCTAGATGCATGGGTGAAGGCTTGGGGCAATGAGTGTGTTGTTGAGGCTTGTTAAAAGTGTTCTTGATTCCTTGAATACCATGCCACAATGACTTTTAAACATATTAGTCTTTTCTTTTTGGAAAAATCTTTGTGATTATCATGACTGCTGTCTCAATTTTATTTACTTGACCTGAAATTCTCTCTTGAACGGTGATGTGTAATGGAAGAACCTAGTCTCCATTTTTTTTGTCTGCCATTTAGAATCGATTAGGAATTTGTTATTTCCATGTGTTATTCACTGGTTGTTTTGCAGAATGCTCTTTCCTTTTGTTTCTTGTGTTTACTGCTTTGATTATCATTATTGTGTAAATTAGCAATCACTTACTTGGATTTTATGCCCTTCCCTAGATTTCCTTTATGATTTGCATATCTGAAGATGCATCAAATGTCCATGGCCTTAAGTCCTGGATGTTCTAGTCACAGCAGATAACGAACTGGGACTACTATTTTTTTTCCTCTGTCTGTCTGTTCACTCTTGTTTATGCTGAAGTCACCTAGAGGGCTCCAAGTTCTATAATATTCTTAACGTTATAACTTTCCTATCCTGCCTAAGAATTCGATGTTTACTTTTGAACAACATACAATTATGCAAGTATACCCTGATTTTTGTTCAACTCCTGTCATTCAGTCATCTATGCATCTAGGTACTAGTTGAAGATTATGCATTTGTTTAAGAACATCACATGTTATCCTTGTGCATTTATATTGTTCTTGCAGTCATTACAACAACAACTTCTGAGAAAACCTGAAGGAAATGAAGCCATCCTAGCATATCAAGCCAGTGCCCTTCAAGGGATGATGGGGGGAAGAAATTTTCCTTCACCTCCAGGCTCCATGCAACCGCCTCAACAGGCCAGGAAAATTTTTGATCTGGCTCAACAACATGCTTTTGCCCAGGACAGCCAGAATAGGAGTCAAGGTATTGACCAACGAATGCTAACTCCTGTTCAGCAAGCTTATTATCAGTTTGCTTACCAGGCTGCTCAGCAACAGAGGACACTTTTGGCACAGCAGCAAGCTAAGATGGCAATGTTGGACTCTCAATCTGTTAAGGATCAAGACATGGGAATTGGAAATTTAAAAATGCAGGAACTTATTTCCGTGCAGGCAGCTAATCAGGCTCAGGCATCATCCTCTAAAAGCACATCTGAGCAGCTTGGTTGTGTTGAAAAGCAAATGGAGCAAGGACCACAGTCAGCTTCTGACCAAAGAAATGAGCCCAAGCCACCTACCCAGGCAACAGTTATTGGACAATTGATGCCTGGAAATGTTTTAAGAGCCATGCAGGCACAACATGCTCAGCAAACTGTTCAAAACTCGGGAAACAATCAACTTGCTATGACTGCACAGTTGCAGGCATGGGCACTTGACCATAATATTGATCTGTCTCAATCTGCAAATGCCAACTTGATGGCACAACTCATTCCACTCATGCAGTTTAGGAAGGCTGCACAGCAAAAAACAAATGAAAGCAATATGGGTTATCAGTCATCACCTGTGCCTCTGTCCAAGCCGCAGGTCACTTCTCCATCAGTTCCAAGTGAGAGTTCTCCCCGTGGTAATTCATCAAATGATATGTCTGGCCAGTCTGGCTCTGCAAAAACCAGGCCGACAGTTCTACCTAGTCCTTTTGGTTCAACTTCCAGTGCTGGGGTGGTTAACAAAGCTAACAACATTGCAATGCAGCAGTTAGCTAGTCATGGCCGAGACAACCAAGTGCCTCCCAGACAGCCAGTTGCGCATGGAAATGGGATGCCTTCTATGCATCCTCCACAATCATCTGCAAATACTAGCCAGAATGTTGATCCATCTTTGCCAGGAAAAAATTCATTAGGTGGCACAGAAAAAGTGCAAATGCAGTATCTTAAACAGTTAAATCGATCTTCTCCACAGCCTACTGCTCCTAATGATGGAGTAGCGGTTAACAATTTACCACCACATGGGGGAGCAGCTAACAAGATGCCACAGCAACGTTTTGGTTTCACTAAACAACAACTTCATGTTCTTAAAGCACAAATACTAGCATTTAGGCGCTTGAAGGTATACTAATCTCTCTCCCTTTCTCTCCCCCTATCCTTGTCTCTCTGACCATTTATATTTTGCCTTACTTTCTACCAATTACATGAAGTTTACTAAAGAAATATTGAATGGACCATACTGATTTTTGTGGTTATTAACAGAAAGGAGAAGGTACACTTCCGCAAGAGCTTCTTCGAGCTATTGTTCCCCCACCACTCGAGCTGCAGCATCAGCAATTTCCTCCTCTAGGTGGAAATAACCACGACAGAAATGGTGGAAAGATTGTAGAAGATCAAGTGAAGTATTTGGAGTCAAAGGAGAAGGTTTCACAGGCTGGGGCATCTACCAATGGACAGAATAATACTAAAGAGGAAGCTTATACTGGAGATGATAAAGCAACTGCATCAACAGCTCATGTGCAAGGTGCATCAGCCACGGCCAAGGAATTTTCATCTACGGTACCTGCTGGGCAAGAAGAGCAGCAAAGCTCTGTCTTTTCTTCCAAGTCAGACCAAGAAGTAGAATGTGGTCTTCCAAAAACTCCTGTTAGAAGTGATTTTAGTGTGGATAGGGGAAAGGCTGTTGCACCTCAAGTTGCTGTATCTGATGGAGGACTAGTTAAGAAACCTGTGCAAGCAAACTCTACTCCCCAGCCAAAAGATCCTGGCTCTGCCAGAAAGTATCACGGACCACTGTTTGATTTCCCCTTCTTCACTAGGAAACCTGAATTGTATGGTTCAGCAATAGCTAACAGCAATAATAATTTAACTTTGGCATATGATGTCAAAGATCTTCTCTTTGAAGAAGGAATGGAAGTACTTAGCAAGAAAAGATCAGAAAATTTGAGGAAGATTGGTGGCTTACTAGCAGTAAATTTGGAGAGGAAAAGGATTAGGCCCGATCTTGTTCTGCGACTGCAAATTGAAGAAAAAAAGCTTCGACTTATAGATCTGCAGGCACGTTTGAGGGATGAAGTTGACCGGCAGCAACAAGAGATAATGGCAATGCCTGACAGACCATACAGAAAATTTGTCCGTCTCTGTCAGCGTCAGCGTATTGAGCTTGCCAGACAAGTACAAGCTACTCAGAAGGCCCTGAGAGAGAAGCAATTGAAATCCATCTTTCAGTGGCGTAAGAAACTCCTTGAGGCTCACTGGGCCATCCGTGATGCACGAACTGCTCGCAACAGGGGAGTTGCCAAGTACCATGAAAGAATGTTAAGGGAGTTTTCAAAGAGGAAGGATGATGATAGGAATAAAAGAATGGAGGCCTTAAAGAATAATGATGTTGAAAGGTACAGGGAGATGTTGATTGAGCAGCAAACAAATATCCCTGGAGATGCTGCAGAGAGATATGAAGTTCTTTCATCATTCTTGACGCAAACTGAAGAGTATCTTCAGAAGTTGGGAAGTAAGATAACAGCTGCCAAGAATCAGCAGGAAGTGGAGGAGGCGGCAAATGCTGCTGCAGTTGCTGCACGGTTGCAGGCATGATTTCTTGACCTCTCCCTCCCTTATTTCTAGTCATCTTGTGGGTTTTTTTTCCCTTTTGAGTTTGTTTAAAAATTTTGGACTGAATTGTGAACCAAAACAGTATTACATGTCTTTTCCTCATCCATTTGCTTTAGGTAGATTACCATGTTACTTATTTTCTTGTTTTGAATGTTTTCTACATCTTGACAAAAGGGTCTATCAGAGGAAGAAGTTAGGGTAGCTGCAACTTGTGCTGGAGAGGAAGTAATGATAAGAAACCGATTCATGGAAATGAATGCACCTAGGGATGGTTCATCTGTTAGCAAGTAAGTTATGTTTTTTATTATATTATAGTCATTTCAAGGAATTAGTGATAATACAGAAGGGTGCTTGAGTCACGAACCATGAGTGGGATGGGGTGTAAATTGTGACTGTTTGATGTGGCTTATGTGGTAACTCTTCTCATGTTCTTTAGTTCAATAATTATCATCTCATATAATCAATTTATATTTAGCATTTATTTTTTTGTTTATTCCAAGGACATTTTTTATCAGAAGGCACCAAATTTCTGGCAATTTTAGTTACTTGTCACTTCTTGTGGTCGTCAACAGGTATTATAATCTTGCTCATGCTGTGAATGAAAGGGTCATAAGGCAACCATCAATGCTACGAGCTGGAACATTACGAGACTATCAGCTTGTAGGTTGCTTTATTTAAATTATTGGGTTTTCTTCCTACTTTTTTTGTTGGTTTTTGTCCCTTTTAATGTACTACTATTTGTTATAGCTGTTTAAATTTTTATGACATCTGTGTATTATATTTTGTAGGTTGGTTTGCAGTGGATGCTTTCTTTGTATAATAATAAACTAAATGGTATCTTGGCTGATGAGATGGGTCTTGGGAAGACTGTTCAGGTATTGTTCTTTTAAAGATTCTAGTTGTAACACTGCAGTTTCATGTGTTGTTTTGGGAGTTAGACATGGTGTTGGGATTGTCAGAGCATTTATTGTTTTGGTAGATAATCATATGATATGATAGGGCTGTTAAATTTTTGGTTTTTACCTTATTGTGCAGGTTATGGCATTGATTGCTTATTTGATGGAATTTAAAGGAAACTATGGTCCACATCTTATAATTGTTCCAAATGCTGTTCTGGTAAATTGGAAGGTTAGTTCTGTTTTTTCTATATATTGATGGCTGTGATATTTTTCCAATATCTTGAAAAAGAACTGAGTCCTTTTTTACAGAGTGAGCTCCATAATTGGCTGCCATCTATATTATGCATCTATTATGTCGGAGGAAAAGATCAACGTTCAAAATTATTTTCTCATGTAAGAACTTTTAAGTTTCTGTATTTAGTTTTTTTCTAGTGTCAAAAGTTGCTAAACTTTCTTTTGGTTTACTTGTTGCATAGGAGGTTTTGGCAATGAAATTTAATGTCCTTGTGACAACTTATGAATTCATCATGTACGACCGGTCAAAACTTTCTAAAATTGATTGGAAGTACATCATAATTGATGAAGCACAGCGAATGAAAGACAGGGAATCTGTTTTAGCTCGTGATCTTGATAGGTACCGCTGCCAAAGGCGTTTACTTCTCACTGGGACACCATTACAGGTCTCTTAAGGCAGCTCTCTGATATGATTGGAAATTGAAAAAACTACACATATATTATGCACACAGATTTGAAACTTGAACAACTTATTTTTGCTTTTCTGCCATTACTGACATGTACTTGAAATAATATGACCATTATTCCTTGACAACCTTACTTGTTGCATATGCAGTGGTGCAGATAGAGAGAGAGAGAGAGAGAGAGAGAGAGAGAGAGAGAGAGAGATACCTGTTCATGTAGGGGTAGGCTTAACTCTATAACAAGTGTCTCTTAACATTAGAAATCATAAATTCCAAATTCTAAAAGTTAGCATCCTGTCCTTTGTAATTGGTCCATCATTAAATATCCATGTGAAGGATGAAAAGGGAGCTACCGCCTGGTTACTTATGTCTTACGAGGTTGATAACGAGTAATGGTTGGAATTTTAATGGTCTTTCCTGACCATCTTTTAACTGGCAAAAATTAACATGAACCCTTGCATGCTTTAGTTTATATCTCACAGTGTGGCTCATTTAGTTAACCTGTTTTTTACACTTTAGTTTATATCCTACAGTGTTGCTTCTTTGATGCAATGAAATAACAAGTTTATTTACCTTATTCTTTCCACTAGACTTGCTTTCTTATGTCTGTGTGTGCACAATATTAGTTATTTGATGAGTTGAATGAGTTCTATTTATTCCTCAGAATGACTTGAAGGAACTCTGGTCACTGTTAAATCTTCTCCTTCCTGAAGTGTTTGATAATCGCAAGGCATTTCATGATTGGTTTTCACAACCATTCCAAAAGGAAGGCCCTACACATAATGCAGAGGATGATTGGCTTGAGACGGAGAAGAAGGTTATTATCATACACCGACTTCATCAAATTCTAGAGCCTTTTATGCTTAGACGTCGTGTTGAAGATGTGGAAGGTTCACTTCCTCCAAAGGTATGCTGTTATAGCAGTCCTACTTTAATAATATTATCATACTAGCAGTCCTACTTATCATTTACTGTTGTTTCAACGATTTTATTTCATTGGCCAATTGCAGGTCCCAATAGTTTTAAGATGCAAAATGTCAGCTATTCAGAGTGCCATTTATGATTGGATAAAATCAACTGGGACTCTTCGAGTTGATCCTGAAGATGAGAAGCGCAGGGTTCAAAAAAATCCAATATACCAGGCTAAGGTGTACAGAACTTTAAATAACCGGTGTATGGAGCTTCGGAAGACTTGCAATCATCCTTTGCTTAATTATCCATATTTCAATGACTTCTCCAAAGATTTCCTTGTAAGATCTTGTGGGAAATTGTGGATCCTTGACAGGATCCTAATAAAACTGCAGAGAACTGGGCATCGTGTATTACTCTTTAGTACCATGACTAAGCTTCTGGATATCTTGGAGGAATACTTGCAGTGGAGAAGACTTGTCTACAGACGAATTGATGGATCAACTAGCTTGGAAGATCGTGAATCAGCTATTGTTGACTTCAATAGGGCTGACTCTGAATGCTTCATATTCTTACTAAGTATTCGTGCAGCTGGACGTGGTCTTAATCTTCAATCTGCTGACACTGTTGTTATATATGATCCTGATCCAAATCCTAAAAATGAGGAACAGGCAGTTGCTAGAGCTCACCGAATTGGACAAACAAGGGAAGTCAAAGTCATTTACATGGAAGCAGTTGTTGACAAAATCTCTAGTCATCAGAAGGAGGATGAACTAAGGAGTGGAGGTACAGTTGATTTTGAGGATGATTTTGCAGGTAAGGATAGATATATGGGATCTATTGAAGGCCTCATAAGGAATAACATTCAACAGTATAAAATTGACATGGCTGATGAAGTAATCAATGCTGGACGTTTTGACCAGAGAACAACACATGAAGAGAGACGCATGACTTTAGAAACATTATTGCATGATGAAGAGAGGTATCAAGAAACTGTCCATGATGTTCCCTCCTTGCACCAGGTAAATCGAATGATAGCAAGAAGTGAGGAAGAAGTTGAGTTGTTTGATCAAATGGATGAAGAACTGGAATGGACTGGGGAGATGACTTGTCATGAACAGGTACCTAAGTGGCTTCGAGCCAGTACAAGAGAAGTGAATGCTGCTATAGCTACTTTATCAAAGAAGCCATTAAAGAACATTTTATTTACTGCTGGTATTGGTGCTGAATCCAATGAAACAGAGACTGAGAGAAAAAGGGGGCGACCCAAGGGGAAAAAGCATCCTAACTATAAGGAAATAGATGATGAGAATGGGGCATACTCTGAAGCAAGTTCTGACGAGAGAAATGGTTATTCTGGGAATGAGGAGGGAGAAATTGGAGAATTTGAAGATGATGAATTTAGTGGTGCTGTCGGGGCAGTACCTATAAATAAGGACCAGTCAGAAGAAGATGGCCCACTTGGTGTTGGTGGTAATGAGTATGCCCAGACTTCAGAAAACATTAGAAACAACCACATGGTTGAAGATGGTGGTTCTTCAGGATCATCATCGGACAGTCGTAGACCAACGCAGATGGTGTCTCCTATTTCACCTAAGAAATTTGGATCTCTCTCTGCATTAGATGCTAGGCCTGGTTCTGTTGCAAGAAGGCTGGTATGTCTCTTATCCTATAATAACTTTTTAATATGGCATTTGTTGATTTCTGCTATTTTCTCATTTTATGTTAATTTTGGCAGCCCGATGAGCTAGAGGAAGGTGAAATTGCAGTATCTGGAGATTCTCACATGGACCACCAGCAATCAGGGAGTTCGGTTCATGATCGTGATGAAGGTGAAGATGACCAAGTTGTCCAACCCAAGATAAAACGCAAGCGTAGTATTCGAGTTCGACCTCGTCATACTGTGGAGAGGGCAGAGGAGAAATCTGTGACTGGAGTGCCTTGTCTCCAACGCGGAGATTCATCTTCATTGCCTTTCCAGCTGGACCAAAAATACCAATCACAACTAAGGACTGATACTGAATCAAGACCAACTCGTGAGCGCAATGCTTTCAAGCTTGATCCAAATGATTCATCTTCAAAAAGTAGAAGGAACTTGCCTTCAAGAAAAATAGCTAATACATCAAAGTTGCATGCATCACCAAAGTCTGGTAGAATGAATTCCAAGTCTGCTTCTGCAGAAGATGCTGGCGAACCCTCAAGAGAGAGTTGGGACAGTAAACTGGTCAAAACAAGTGGTCCTTCGAGTTTTGGTGCTAAGATGTCTGATGTCATCCAAAGAAAGGTATAGTTGAAGTGACTTTAATTCTGCTAGTTGTATGGATTGTGAATCTCTTTTCACCTTAAATATTCTAACTGTCTTAGATTTTTTTTCCTGTTCATTATTGATTAGTTGGATTTGGAAACCTTGCTTTTGGTATTTTGAATTACTTGATGTTGCTTGTAGTAGGCTCTAACCTGTCAAATTGCTATGATGCTCCTGAATTTCTTCCCCTTCTTTTGGATCCTTTCTATTGCATCTAATAGAGCAGCATACACAGATTTCATCTAATTGTGTCTCTCATCAACAAAGTGAGTTTAAATTTTTCTAAGACAGGCATTTGGGTAATTTGGGTGTCTATTTTATGTTTTCTTTTTGAGATTTAAGAAGTTTCATGTGTTCTATAATATGTTCTATCATTTGTTCTACCCGGCTGTTTGGTTTGCCATGTCTATCTGTTGAGTTTTTTGTATTATATCTTCCCGTTATTTTGGCTTGACATCATCGATATTTTGCATGGTTTGGATATGCCGAATATTGGAAGCTTTATATATCAAAATAACTTATCTTCTAAGAAATGAGTAGTTTTCACCTTTGACCTTTAATAGAATAGTTAATTGCTCATGTATTACATGTTATCTTATGCTATTTGCAAATCAAGTAATTGACTTGAAAATTCTCATATTTCCAGTGCAAAAATGTGATTACCAAGCTTCATCGGAGAATAGATAAGGAGGGTCAACAAATTGTACCACTTTTAACAGATTTGTGGAAGAGGATTGAAAACTCTGGTTACATGGGTGGAAGTGGAAGTAATCATTTGGATTTCCGGAAGATTGATCAGCGTGTTGACAGATTAGAGTACAGTGGAGTTATGGAGCTTGTTGCAGATGTGCAGTTAGTGTTAAAAAGTGCAATGCATTTTTATGGGTTTTCGCATGAGGTATAATGTCTCATTTTAACTTTGTCTTCATCATCTTTATATGTCCGTACACTAACTTTTCCATCAGTCTTTGATTTTTGCCATGGATAGTCTCTTTGGAAGCAATTACTTTGAAGGCTTTTTAAAGAAGTTAACCTATTTGTATTTTGTGTTTAAGTGCCTAAAAATTTTTATCACCTAGAAAATGTTCCGTTCACCTTCCCACCAATTGAACTCCAGTATATGTTTCTGAAATTTTCTCATTAATATCTTGATCTGTTCACTTACTCTGGAAATGTAATTGGAATTCGCAGGTCAGATCTGAAGCAAGGAAAGTACACGATCTGTTTTTTGACTTGTTGAAGATTGCATTTCCAGATACTGATTTTGGAGAAGCTAGAAATGCTCTCTCTTTCTCTAGCCCAGTATCTACTTCCACCTCAGGTCCCTCCCCTAGGCAGGTAGCCATTGGCAAGAGACAAAAGCTGATAAACGAGGTGGAATCCGATCCAGGCCTTACTCACAAGTCATTGCATCGTGGATCCACTCATGCTGGCGAGGACACAAGGGTTAGAATGCACATGCCCCAAAAGGAATCCAGGCTTGGGAGTGGAAGCGGCATTACCAGGGAACAATATCAACAGGATGACTCTCTTCAAACTCATCCAGGGGATCTGGTTATTTGCAAGAAGAAGAGGAAAGACAGGGAAAAGTCTATTTTGAAGCCTAGGACTGGATCAATTGGCCCTGTTTCACCTCCGAGTATAGGTCGCAGCATTAGGAGTCCGGCAGCAGGATCAGTCTCAAAGGATACAAGGCCGACCCAGCAAACCACCCATCAGCAAGGTAGGCCCAACCAGCCTGCTCATCCGCCAAATGGTGGTGGTGCGAGTGTTGGTTGGGCCAATCCTGTGAAGAAGTTGAGAACAGACTCGGGTAAAAGGAGACCAAGCCATTTATGACTTTTTATAGTATCACCTAATTGAAAAAAAAAAAAAAAAAAAAAGCAAATTGCTGCCATTTAGTACAAGCATGGAGTGTATTTTGTGGCCATTCATGGGCTGTACAATTGCAATTAGATCATACCATTAATGTAGAATGTAAGTTCATTGATCCCTCATTGTATACCGGTCTTTCCATGTTTTCAATGCAATAGTCCTCATATCTGCTCCTTGCGGGTATGGTTATGGATTTGACAGCTGAGACTCTTTGTAAAGTTCATTTTTTTATAAAGATGCACGAATTATCAGATTTTATCGTCTTGATGTAATTAGGGTTGTTGCATTTTGCCCTTGTGATATAATTATGTATGTAGAATTTTGCCATCTCCGTAAGGACTCGTTCTTACTTTTGCTAGTATACGATGAAAATAAATTAAGTTCATCTTTCTTAAAAAGTGCGTAAAATATACCTACATTTCATATATTCAAATTATATCAAATGATTTTTTTCTTCATTTTTTTTCAATAGTACATTTTCTCAAACATTCTCTCATTTTTTCCTCAATGTACACTTTTCCTCAATGAAAATTCGTTCATTAATGTCATGTTTATTTTGTACTAAACACATAAAATATAAAAATTATCATGTTACACTTAGTAATGACACGTTAAACTTTTTTCTTTTTGCCCAAACCATATAATTTTATAAAACCATGTCACTTTAATATTTTTTTTTTCATATCGTTTTCTTGTCACAATGTTACCATTGTATTGGGTCTAAACTAACCAGGTCTACTTTTAACTTTGTCAAAGACAATACCTTGGCAAAAAATATCCCTTCTCGTATCACATTCAAAAACCTAAAACCACACAAGCATGATACATCATGAATTTCTTATAGACTACAATCTTTCCTTTTAACCTACTGCCTTGCTGCTATGTTAGAAGGCACAGCTTTGCCGTCAAAAACTCAATGAAGAAAAGGATGCCAAATATGAAATACCTGTATTGATGTTACTAGACAAATGGTACATGACATACCTCAAAAACTGAAAAGTATGAACCAAATAACACTTCAAATGCACCAATGCTACTTGAGATCAGAGGTGTGATCAATTCTTCCCTCCAAATTACCCCCTTAGAACAAAATCTTTGGCCACTAAAATTTTCACTTCTCAAAGGCACACCAAGAGGAATATCTCTTTTAATTGAATCCTTGAAACATCATTTGTCAAATACGTGACTTCTTTGGGGAAATTAAGATGGAGGTGTAGGGCTTAATTGCTTCATGCCTGATACCTTTAGCAATTGATTCCGCTTCGGGTTCATCATCATCGCTGTTAATGTTGCTTGGAGTGATCCTATTCTGGTATGCTCTACGCTGCAAAAGAAAGACATTGTAATAATAGCAAACAAGTTCTTCCCTACTTTTGTTAGGGAAATGCTTGTAGATGTCATCCCAGAAACTTTTTTCTAGTAATGAAGGATTTGACTTGGCTATAGATGAAAATGTCTTCTGTTCTTCCTCTTTCCAAGCAAGTGCAACCTCTTCACCCATCTTATCAAATTTCCACTGGCTGAAAGCTGAACCCAGCTCAAGCCTTACTTTCAATCTTTTCTCAGCAACATGAAATTTTACACATTGTAGAGAATTTTGAATAGGGCAGCCACATGAATCTTGTCTTCCCTTTCCAATCGGATCCCTTTCAATCAGAAACCTGTGTTCCTTTTTTTCCAATGGCCAAACACGAGTCCCTAACCATTTTGCATCACTTTCTGAAGCTACCCCTGTCCAGTCAGGTACCTCAACTTGAAAATATGGCCCAATAGGAACGTGAATGTCAACATTATAGTCGAATGCTGAACCTGGAGTTGTAGAGTCACAAGTTCCATGCAACTGTTTGTCAATCCCCACCATAGAACTGTCCAAGTCACTACGATTCCCTGAGGAGGACTGTGAACAATCCTGTCCCTTTGATGCCATTCTCCCCAACGGCAGCGTCTTGGTGCAACTCAACCTCTCTCTGAGATTGTACCCAAATTTAGTGTGATCATCATACATGCATGGATGCATCTTCTGATTTTTCTACAAAGTGTGAACGTCATGCAATTATTATAACATAAACAAAAAGAAAAAAACACATAACAGGGATATCATCAAATAAATGAATGTTTATGGAGATGAATAATAGCACAATAAAATGTTTATGGAGATAGAATAATAGCACAATACACAATCATCAAGAAAAATAAAGGTATAATCATCTTAATTCTTTGAGCCTAAATATAGCCAAGGTCAAACAATAATATAGTGAAACTTAAACTTGTTAAAGACCCTGTCTAGCCAAACTCAAGCCAGAGCATCTGCAATCCTTATTTACTAATATGTACAAAATTACTAATGATAACTTATGCGAAAGCTCTCACAAAAGATAATTTCAAACATCATGAATTCTAGGCTAAAATAATAAAAAAGCCCTTAAACTTTACAACTTTTACTTAAATAAGCCCTTATACTTTTATTGCATTCAACCTTAATTTTTAATTTGAACTCAAATAAGCCCTTAAACTTTAATTTGTATCCAAATAAGCCCTTAAACTTTTAATTTGTACCTAAATAAGCTCTTAACATAAATCATTCTTTCATTTGAAACAAGGACTTATTTGGATATAATAAAAGAATAGGAACTTATTTAAGAAAAGTGAAATGATTTAAGGGCTTTCTTAATATTTTAGCCTAAATTCTAAGAACAGATGAGAGCATCAAGCATACTAATGATTTTATAGTTTGACACAATTCAAAAATAAAAAGTCACCTATAAATATGAAATCATGCATTTTAATATTCACAATAAATTATTTTTTAACTTATCACAAAGTTTTTTTACTATTGCATCCAAACATACTAGTAGCATTTAATATTTACTTCCATAAGCAAAGAGCAAATTGCAAAAGCAACAACCAGGAGGAGTCTTAACAAACTACAAGTAGAAGGTGCTTCTAAAACAAGGTGGTATGGTAAATCAAATGCATTTACTAGTGCTTCAAGCATTTGAATACAGTAACAGCATAAAAAATACTAAATAATAACAGTATTTCATATTAGATGTGTATAGTTATGTACCATGAAAAAAGAACATTAAAAACAGCCTCATAAACAACAGCAACAACAATGCCTTTTCCCACCACAAGGCATCAGCTGCATGGAACTATTAAGCCATTGCATTCTATTTAAGATATCTTGAGAATTCTCATTATTGTTTTCATGCAGGTCTTCTTTCGGAATATATAGAGTGCCATGTGACTGAGTTGTAGCATTGGAAATTAGGACCAAATAAAGGTCATAAGCATATGAGAGAGAGATAGAGATAGAGAGAGTACACAGCATAATATTCCTAAATGAATAGGATGAAATATGACTCATACACAACCCAAATCTAAGGGCAAGCAGAAAAAAGAATGGATGATAGGTTTAGAAGAACGATGATGGTCCTTTAATGGTTCCACCAATCAGTGGCAGATCCAGTTGAAAAAGGAAAATTTTTCGCTGGATTCCCCCATTTCTGTCAACAAAATTGATAATCCATCAGAAATTTTTTATATATATTATAAGTGGAAGAAAAAAATCCTAAATCAGCCACAGCCACCAATAGCTAACTTTGCTTCTTCATTTTCCAGCACCAAGGTGGCTGGGTTGCAGCCTATCCTATTATTCATAAGGAAACAGAAAATGCATAATGGAGCATTTTCATGCAGACTACCACCACAGCAATCAAAGAAATTAAAAAATAATATAAATTACCCTAAAGATTTATATAACAATATTAACAATAAACTTGCATTGGCACAGGTAATAAGTACATTGACCTCTCACTTGAATTAATGACTAAACGGTACACAAGTGTTGCAAAGGGTACATACCTGCCAATTGGACTGGTCAGCACTTGAATGATCATCCTTTCCATGAAAGGCAGCTTCTCGAAACAATAAAACCTGCTTCCAGACTTCCTCACTCCCATAAGACTTCCACTTTGACCTCTCTGGTAATGAACCAACCGCCGGATCACATGGATCCTTTGCAATCTCTTTAACCCAATTAAGTATTCCCCATGTAGAATCCCGCTTTCTCTTATGAGATGAAAATGTTTCCTTAATGTCATTTGAATCCAATATTGCAACATCATCATCATCATCATCATCATCAATATCACTAAATGTGCATGTCTTACATTCAACACAATCCTCCATAATTGCACTCTTCACCTCATCCTCATTACACATTTGCTCAACATCCAATGCGTTGACCACACTTTTCGCCAAATCTGAAGGTGTATCTTCATTTTCATCAACATAAATAAACTTTTTGTCACCATCTGAATCAACCACCACACTGTTTAAATCATCATCATTCCGCAATCTTTCAACTTCCTTGTAATCCAAAATCCTCTTTGTTAAATCAATATGCATAGATTCTTCATCTTTTACACATTTCTCACCTCCTTCTGATCCTGCTACTACACTCTCTTCCACTTGAGAATACTCCAAAACTTTCTTCTTTGATGCCAACAAAAACCCTTTGAGCTCTTCTCCCAACTCCATCATATGACCACTATAATTCGATTCACTCTTTGAGTCCTCACTTTGAACAATTCTCTCCAACCATCTCTCTACTGAAACTAAGTACTTAACATAAACCAACTTAACCGATGATGCTACATTTGAACCCAACCCGGATTCCTTAGCAACCAAATCCCATAACCCACTTTCTGAAACAGCATCGCATCCACCTTTCTCTTTTACAACAAAGAAAAGCTTAAACAAATCTACAGGCTGCCCATCTCCAAGCATTGGAGGAAGTGGAAAAAAACAACCTTGGGCATAAATCTCTTTTAAAAACGACCCAAGAAACTTGTTAAACCAGAACCTAACCTTATGGGGTTCAGATTTCAAAAAAGACACTTTTGAAAAGGGCTCGAGATCAATCCAAGAACCAGCAGGGTCAGGCTTTTCTAGGGTTTTTGCGCAATCTAGTGAAGACCCATCATCTTTCATCGACCACCCTGCCATGGATTTCGAATTCAAACCCTAAAAACAAATAATTCTCCGAATAATCTTTCATTCTTCGACAAAACAAATAAAAAAATTCGGACCAAAATGATAAACAATTAAAAATAGATAATACAAATACTTAAGTGTTACATAAGATAAAAGGGAACTGATTAACAATCTGGGTCTTGCGATGTTAGAAAGCGAATTTTTGGCGGGAAAATTACTAATCTAGGGTTTTCATTGGGGTTTTTCTATTTTCCTTTTGTCCCTCTCTCTTAATTGCAGATAAGACTACAGCTTTTGAGGGGCTAAACTACAAGTTTTGAACAGATACAGTCCCTCGCTGAAAATTCTTAAGATTCCAAGATAATTTAGGGGATTTTGTCAATTTTTAGAGAAAAAGAAAAAAAAATGAAAGAAATAGAGAGAAAAGGAAAAACATACCTGTATTTTTTTCTCTCCTTAGGGTTGTGACATAGGGTGGTGTTGGATGAGACTCCCTCCTTTGCCTTTTGGCTTTTTTTTTTCTCAATTCTCATATTAAAATTTAATTTAATTTAATTATATAATTATTTTTAAAAAATGACATCAATAAATTTATTTTTAAATTTTTATAACTTTCTTTTTCTAAATTAGAACTTCTTTTATATTAAAAAAAATTTTTGGCCTCTTCTATAACTTTTTTTTTTTTATACCCTACTCTTTTAAGATTTTTTCTTAACCCTTCCTTCTCTACCTTTCTTTTGGGAAATTTTTAAACCTTTTTCCTCCTCTAAACCTTTCCCTTCTTTCCCATTCTCTTTTTTTTTTTTTATTTCCTTAGGATTCTTTGGTGCAATTAAAATGGTATTAAAAAAATAATAAAAGAAAATATGGAGAAGTTGGAATAGGGTTTAAAAGAAAGACCCAACCCTATAATTTATAGTTGCATGATTGACCTAGGTTAATTATTGATCATGGGTTGAAATTGAGGATTATGGGTAGTTTGATAATTTACGATTTAAAAAAAGGATTTTTGGGGAATTAAAGTTTTACATTCAACTAGCTTTTTGAACTCATACAATGGGATTTTTTATTAATTTTTTCATAATTTTAAATTTATTTTTTAATTAACTTTAATTTTTTATATTATTTTAATAAAAAAATAAAAATTTTTATTGATCTAATACATTATCATACATTCATAAATCTAAGCTACAATTAAATGATAATCTACGCATGATGTATTATAAATGATAATATTTATCTAAAAAAAGTTTAAGTTTTTGTAAATTTTCAAGAATTATAAAAATCTTTTTTTTTCATAAAAAAATATTTTCTTCAATCAATTTGCTAAACACTAACAATTTTACCACCGTTTCTTTCTTATTTGATAAAAAAATCAAGAATCCATATTTAAATAATTAAGATTAAAAGTGTTCATGTGTCAGGTCAAGCTCATACTTTATATTAATAACTTATATGTTTATCTAGACCTAACCCGACCTGAAATTTTGGGTCTCAAAATTTTTTCAAATCTAATTCAAATTAAAAAAATAAATTTCAAATCCACCCATTAAATTTAATTTATATAATAAAAATTAAAAAATATGATTAAATTAAGTTTAATGGGATTACATTCAATTTATATATTTAAAAATTAAAATTAAGATTATTTAAAATAAAATTAATATATAAATTAAAAATACAAATTATATAAAATAAAAATTAAGTTTAATAAAATATATATAATTTTTAATTTTAATTTATATATATATGTGAATTAATTTATAAATAATTTACATATATATAAAAATAAAAAATTATATATATGTGAATTTGGATCATGCCGAGCTAAGCTCAGGTTTTAAATCATTTGTCCAAGACCTGAACCGAAATTTAAATTGGCCTAAAAATTATGTTTAATCCCGTTTAATAGGTTTTAAATTTTTTGTCCAAACTTTCTTATAATTTAAGTGGGCTTTCGGGTTTGTGTAAATACTCGACTCTTAAATAAGTTTAGTTAAGATTAATAATTATTTTTATGATAATGTTGATATATATCATTTGATTAAATTGTGAAAGACATTTTATATTAGAAGAATTTAAAATTTACGCAAAATTTTTGGTTTCAAATAGATTTTGATTTGAATTTAAGTAATTATCTAAAATATTAAATTTAAATAATTTATTAAAAATTTTTATTTGATGAATAAAATAATATAAGCATTAATTATACTATGTGTTATTAATATATATATATATATATATATATCTATATAGTTGAACTTTGAAGGCATGCCTCATGGGAAGAACAATGATTTACGACCAATCTTGTGCTAATAATAAATTTTTTATTTAATGAAAAAATTGTTTTTCTTTTCAAAAGTCATTTTTGACCTTTTTTTTTTTTGTTTTTTTAACAAAGCATTCTATTTTAAACAATCTTTAACTTTTTTAAATATATTTTTCTCTCATCCTCCTTTTTATAAATTTGACAAGATAAATGGATGAAGATAATAGAGGAAATAAATAAAAGGAGTGATGAAGATGATGGAGAAAAAGAGGTGATTTGAGATAAAATTGAAAGTTCAAATGTGGGATCCATTCCTTATTTATAGGTTAAGTAAATGGTTAGTATATTTTTATGTATTATCATATCGAGGCAAGAATTTTATGGGAGAATGAAAGGTCCAAAGGGAAAATTAGAAAATTTTCTAGTAGGGGATAAAAGTGATATAAATTTTGTAACTTTTTTAATTGAAAATTAAAAAGAAATATTTTTTCAATTTCTGTTGTAATTATTAAAGCCATTGAAGCAACTATTGGATCAATTATTATTTCCTCAATTAATCGTAATAGATAAAGTCAATGCATATCAATCAATCAATTTTGTTGAATAAGTAATATTAATAATATTAAATTATAAGATTCACTAATTTGAATTAGTATGTTAATTATTTTAGCAATAAAATAGATGTCTATCAACTTTTGATATAGAATCATTCAATGAATTTTTTTATATTAGCATTAGTATTAGATTTTTATTTTTGAACTACTATTTATTAATTTGAAGTAAAATTCATTTATAAAAATATAAAAAAATTACATAAAATCTTGTTATTTAAATATCAAATTTAAATATTCTTGTCTATCATATAAAAAAGATAATAAATATCCAAATTTATTCTTATTTGCATGATTTTATAATGTTAAAATAACAAATATCTTTATGTTAATAAATAGTATTTATTATCATTTGAGTTGCATGTGAATACTTTTTTATATATTTTTTAATAATTATTAATTACATATCGAGCAAAAAACTAAAACTATTAAATTATATATTAGTTGAATTTTGCATTAACATGCAAAATTTATCCCATATATATCAGATTTTATATAAATATATAAAAGCCAAAATTTTTGGTAAAAAAGGAAAATTTTCAATGATGATGGCCTATATTATTGGCATATAAACGATTTTGAAAATGACCATGTGTCCTATTTTTATTTTATTTGAATTATTTTTAAAAAATTAAATTAATTATATTTATTTTTTATTATTTACTTTGTATCACTCTCAATTAAATTCATATTAAAGGTAATACATTAAATGTATTAAATTATTCCAAATACATTATTACACTAATTTCAAAATCTTTCTCTTTCTATTTATCCCAAATACATTAAATACACATTATATTTGAATATTATAATTGTCAAGCATAAATTACTCTTAGTTTCAAATATTATTACTTCTTAATTTTATTTTAATCAATTAATCATTTAAAAGTTATAAAGCATTCCATAATTAGTTTTAAGATCTATGAGATATAAATGAGAGTTTTTTGGGATGCTTAAGAAATAGATTGCATTATTAAAAAAAAAAATTCAAATTCATGATACTCTTTTTGCCATGGAATAAAGGTAGTGTAGTTTTTTTTTTTTTTATGTTATATATAAATGCATTTTGCGTTAGAATTTAAATATGTTATATTTAATGAATATGATAGTTGGATTGTTTGGTTTGATATTTTTGCAATTGGTTGTTGAATTGGGCATCACCCAATCTTTTTTTAAAATTAATTGTTCTAAAATGAAGCATTTTCTTTCTAATTACTATCTTTATTTTTTGTTTAGCTATTGATTATTATCTTGATTTTTGTTTAGCTATTAGATGGCAAAAGTAGCTATTTTTATAACATTTTTTTATGTATAATAAGCTTGCATGCATCTTTACTTCTAACAAAATGGTATTTTTTAAATATAATATGTTGATTGCTTTCACTTATGTCAAGATCCATTTTGTTAACAATTTTATAATGATTAGTTTGAATTCAAGTTTGTGACCTCTTTTTGGGAAGATATATTGCTATTGATTAAACTATCTTTACAACATAAGAATTATTAATGTATTTTTCAAGAAAAAGGTTTTTAGTTAAATGGTTAAGGAAAATTTTACACAATTGAATGATCTGAAATACAAGCTTGAGGAAATATGTTGTGAAGGTTAACAAATATTTTCCCATAATTTGCTTGATGACTAATAATTTTTTATGACTAATAACCAATTAATTCATGAACCAAATTAATAATCCTAACCTATATATCATAGATTTAAGTGTTTTAGAATACAATTATGTATATATTTAATACTTATATTATTAAAATTAGATTTCTAACAACAAAAATATCATGAAAATATAGGTTTTTTTAATAAAAATATAATATTTTTAAAATAAAACATGTTAAATTTTTTATAAATAATAATATATATAACAAAAAATATATAAAATAGCTTGCCCAGTGCATAGTTTAAAACTAATTAAAATAAAGTTTATTGATTTAAAAGTTAATACCAAATTAAAGCTCTGAAAATCAAAGAATTCAATATAAACTTTAATTCTTTTTTGTTAATAAAAAAATCTATTATATAAGAAGGTCTTTTAATGAAATTAGAATTTGTTTTTATAAATTGATAATCTTATTAAGATTTTAATAAAAATATTTAAAATGATGATTTAGAAATATAATGAATAAAGATATATATATTTTCATTAATCAAATATTTTATCACCAACCATATGTGTGTATATAGATTTTAATAAAAATCAGGTTAAAGAGTTAAAAAATCTTGAACTGAAATTTAACGATCATCAAAGCTCCTATGTTTTTTTAATCAATTAAATCCTCAGAATTAATTTTCTCCAAATGAGCTTTTGTTAGAAGAAAAATGGTTAATTATTTTTATCCAATCGAAGGTTTAATTTGGTGAAAATAAATGTTTAAAAGTTCAATTAGATGAAAATAGATATTTAAAAATTCAACCAATTCAAAGTAAAAAATTTAGAGTTTACTGATTGTAATAAAATATCAAGGGTTTAAATGATTATTAAATTTTTATTTGAGAAATTTTTGAACCCTTTTACCTAAAAATTATTATTTGTATAATTAAAAAAAAAAGATGATATAGTGTTTGGGCTTGAAAACATATCATTACACACTTAAAGTGGGCCAAGGTTATGAATTGGGTTGACCTACTTCATCCATG